CCTTTCCCCCCTAAGGCCTTTTTTCCCCCCGCGATCTTCCCCCTTTTCCTTCCTAAGATCTTTTCCCCCCTTTCCTTGTTGAGATCCTTTCCCGCCCTTTCCCCCCTAAGGCGTTTTCCCCCCCAAGATCTTCTCCCTTTTCCTCCCTAAGATCCTTTGCCCCCTTTCCCTGTTGAGATCCTTTCCCCCCTTTCCCCCCTAAGGCCTTTCCCCCCCTGAGATCTTCTCCCTTGTCCTCCCCAAGATCTTTTCCCTTGGTTGAGATCCTTCCCCCCTTTCCGTCCGAGATCGTCTCCCTTTTCCTCCTAGGATCTTCTCCCACCTTTCCCTGTTGAGCTCCTTTCCCCCTTGTCCCCTTAAGGCCTTTTCAGATCTTCTCCCTTTTCCTCCCTAAGATCCTTTGCCCCCTTTCCCTGTTGAGATCCTTTCCCCCTTTCCCCCCTAAGGCCTTTTCCCTGCCTGGGACCTTCTCCCTTTCCTCACTGAGATCTTTCCCCCCCTTTCCCTGTTGAGATCCTTTCCCCCCTTTCCCCCCTACGGCCTTTCCCCCCGCTGAGATCTTCTCCCTATCCCTCCTTAAGATCCTTTGCCCCCTTTCCCTGTTGAGATCCTTTCCCCCCTTCCCTTTAAGGCCTGTCCAGATCTTCTCCCTTTTCCTTCCTAAGACTGTTTCCCCCCTTTCCCTGTTGAGATCCTTCCCACCCTTTCCCCCCTCAGGCCTTTCCCTTTCCTGAGAGCTTCTCCCTTTTCCTTCCTTAGATCGTTCCCCCCTTTCCCTGTTGGCCTTTTTTCCCCCAGATCTTCTCCCTTTCCTCCCTAAGCCTTTCCCCCCTAAGGCCTTTGTTGCCAGATCTTCTGCCTTTCCTCCCTAAGATCTTCTCCCCCCCCCTTTCCCTGCTGAGATCCTTTTCCCCCTTTCCCCCCTAAGGCCTTTCCCCCCCCTGAGAGCTTCTCCCTTTTCCTTCCTAAATCTTTTCCCCCCTTTCCCTGTTGGGCTTTCCCCCCTAAGTCCTTTTCTCCCAGATCTTCTCCCTTTCCTCCCTAAGATCTTCCCCCCTAAGATCCTTTCCCCCCTTTCCCTGTTGGCATTTTTTCCCCAGATCTTCTCCCTTTCCTCCCTAAGATCTTTTCCACCCCTTTCCCTGTTGAGATCATTTCTCCCCTTTCCCCCCTAAGGCCTTTTTGCCCCAGATCTTCTGCCTTTCCTCCCTAAGATCTTTCCCCCCCCCCCCAGTTCCCTGTTGAGATCATTTATTTCCCCCCTTTTCCTTCTAAGGCCTTTTCCCACCCTCAGTTCTTCTCCCTTTTCCTCCCAAAGATCTTTCCCCCCCTTTCCTCCCTAAGTCCTTTTCCCTGAGTTCGTCTCCCTTTGCCTCCCTAAGATCTTTTCCCCCCTTTCCCGCTTAAGATCCTTTCCCCCGTTTCCCCCCTAAGGCCTTTTCCCCCCAAGATCTCCACCCTTCTCTTCCCAAAGTCTTTTTCCCCCTTTCCCGTTTGAGATCCTGTCCCCCCATTGCCCCTTAGGGCCTGTTCCCCCCGAGAAAGATTTCCATTTTCCTCCCAAAGATCTTTTCCCCCCTTTCCCCCTTGAGGCATTTTTTCCCCAGATCTTCTCCCTTTCCTCCCTGAGATCTTCCCCCCCTTTCGCTGTTGAGATCCTTTCCCCCTTTCCCCCTTCATTTCCTTTACCAGCATGGGCAACATCCCCAGCATCACTTGCATCATCCGCATCCTTGGCAGGCGCTGATGCGGATGATGCAGGTGATGCTGGCGATGTGCCGCTGACAAACTGAGTTGCGCAAGCCCGCGCAATGAACAGATTTAGTGAAGCGTCTTCGAATCACCGCGTGGTACGTGGACCCCCCCCCCCCGCAATAGTCAAGGGGTTAGGGGAGGGGTACCCCCCTTTCCTCCTTAGGATCTTTCCCACCCTTTCCCTGTTGAGATCCCTTTCCCTCCCAAGGAAAGGGGGGAAAAGATCTTAGGAAATACAAGGGAGAAGCTCTCAGGGGGGGGAAAGGCCTTAGGGGGGAAAGGGGGAAAAGGATCTCAGCAGGGAAAGGGGGGGGGGGAAGATCTTAGGGAGGAAAGGCAGAAGATCTGGGGACAAAGGCCTTAGGGGGGAAAGGGGAGAAATGATCTCAACAGGGAAAGGGGTGGAAAAGATCTTAGGGAGGAAAGGGAGAAGATCTGGGGGAAAAAAGGCCAACAGGGAAAGGGGGGAAAGATCTAAGGAAGGAAAAGGGAGAAGCTCTCAGGGGGGGGAAAGGCCTGAGGGGGGAAAGGGTGGGAAGGATCTCAACAGGGAAAGGGGGGAAACAATCTTAGGAAGGAAAAGGGAGAAGATCTGGAAAGGCCTTAAAGGGAAGGGGGGAAAGGATCTCAACAGGGAAAGGGGGCAAAGGATCTTAAGGAGGAATAGGGAGAAGATCTCAGCGGGGGGAAAGGCCGTAGGGGGGAAAGGGGGGAAAGGATCTCAACAGGGAAAGGGGGGGAAAGATCTCAGTGAGGAAAGGGAGAAGGTCCCAGGCAGGGAAAAGGCCTTAGGGGGGAAAGGGGGAAAGGATCTCAACACGGAAAGGGGGCAAAGGATCTTAGGGAGGAAAAGGGAGAAGATCTGAAAAGGCCTTAAGGGGAAAAGGGGGACAGGAGCTCAACAGGGAAAGGTGGGAGAAGATCCTAGGGAGGAAAAGGGAGAAGATCTCGGACGGAAAGGGGGAAAGGATCTCAATCAAGGGAAAAGATCTTGGGGAGGACAAGGGAGAAGATCTCAGGGGGGGAAAGGCCTTAGGGGGGAAAGGGCGGGAAAGGATCTCAACAAGGAAAGGGGGGAAAAGATCTCAGGAAGGAAAAGGGGGAAGATCGCGGGGGGAAAAAAGGCCTTAGGGGGGAAAGGAGGGAAAGGATCTCACAGGGAGAGGGGGGAAAACATCGTAGGGAGGAAAAGGGAAAAACTCAGAGGGAGAAAGGGCCTTAGGGGGGAAAGGGGGAATGGATCTCAACACGGAAAGGTGGCAAAAGATCTTAGGGAGGAAAAGGGAGAAGATCTCAGGGGGGGAAAGGCCTTAGGGGGGAAAGGGGGGAAAGGATCTGAGCAGGGAAAGGGGGGGAAAGATCTTAGGGAGGAAAGGGAGAAGATCTGGGGGCAAAGGCCTTAGGGGGGAAAGGGGAGAAATGATCTCAACAGGGAAAGGGGTGGAAAAGATCTTAGGGAGGAAAGGGAGAAGATCTGGGGGAAAAAAGGCCAACAGGGAAAGGGGGGAAAGATCTAAGGAAGGAAAAGGGAGAAGCTCTCCGGGGGGGGGAAAGGCCTGAGGGGGGAAAGGGTGGGAAGGATCTCAACAGGGAAAGGGGGGAAACAACCTTAGGAAGGAAAAGGGAGAAGATCTGGAAAGGCCTTAAAGGGAAGGGGGAAAGGATCTCAACAGGGAAAGGGGGCAAAGGATCTTAAGGAGGAATAGGGAGAAGATCTCAGCGGGGGAAAGGCCGTAGGGGGGAAAGTGGGGGAAAGGGAGGAAAAGGGAGAAGATCTCAGGGAGGAAAAGGCCTTAGGGGGGAAAGGGGGGAAGGGATCTCAACAGGGAGAGGGGGGAAAACATCTTAGGGAGGAAAAGGGAAAAAATCAGAGGGAGAAAAGGCCTTAGGGCGGAAAGGGGGAATGGATCTCAACAAAGAAAGGGGGGCAAAAATCTCAGAGGGGAAGGGGGCAAGGGGAGAATTCCAAAGGGACGCAAGTAAGAAAGCAGGCCTGTAATGTCGGCGGCCTGAGCCGGAGGCGTTAAAATAAAAGTTGTGTATACGCTCCATACCTCCAAGACTTAGAAGGTACGATGGCTCTGGAAAAGACAACTACTCATCAATCCCCCTGTAATCCCTTGTGGCTTCAAGGGGGGGGGAGTGGCAATGGGGTGTTTGGACGGCGTTGTTACCCCGCCCTTGCAAACGGTCTTGCTCGCGGGTGACAACATCAGGGTGGTTCAAGGCTCCCACTCAGCTTGGCAGGGATTGAGTAACTTATGTCACGATGGAAATATCAACATCGTAGGCACACGAGAGCAGTTTGGTCATGAGAAAGCACCAAAGGACGCCGCCCAAACTCTCTTAAGCAACCCGGCAAAGTTCAATTGGATCCAAAACCTCCTTCCTGCCTTCACCTCACCGCTCTCGGACACTCTTGGTTCCGGCCTGGAAGGCTGCGGCGTTCAGCGCGAAAACCGCCACCGCCAAGGCGGCGGCGCGCTGCCTTGCCGAGAATCTCCGCGACATGGGCACCAGCCCCGCGGCGAATCTTTGGCGGCAAAAGCAAGCGGGGTCCTTCGAAAGGAGACTCCACCAAAGAGTTTTCGTGGTGCATTTGGGGATTCGACAAACGTTTTCTATGGCCGTGTCTTTCGTTTTGGGTGCGGGTTGCCCAAGCTCTGCCTGTGGCGCTGTGGTTCCTGGGAGGCATCAGTGTAAATCGCAAGGTGACTCAAACCAATGCAGCTTGTTGCCCCGCCGGTTCGTCATGACGAGCATTCACGTATTGGAGAAAGGCTCGGGCCACAACAGTTGACAATCATATACATATACATATCAATATCAAATAAGTATGATGCATAGCATGCTGGAGAAGGGCAGTAGGCATAGTGGCCCACTCTTCCAAGAACTTAGCTCAGGCATCAACCATTTGCGAGACGAGTGTGGCCGTCTTGCGCCGTGAAGCAAGAATGGAACAAACACATGTCTCTTTAGCTGTACATATATGTACTCTACATATACAAGCGCGATGCGAATGCACAACCTGCGCATTCCTTCCGAGTACGGGCCTTATGCCCCTGCTAATGTCCAATCAAGCGAGAAAGGGTCACAGTGAGCCGCAGGCCATCCAGGATGTGCGGATATGCACAACAAATCTCGAATGGTAAAACCATTTGTTAGATTTGTTATTCTAATCCTGGCCATCCCTGTTGCTCTTGGCAGCTGGTGGGGAACAAAGCAGCGGGACTTGAGGGCTTGGCTCCACTGCTTCAAGACCTGACCGGTGCACGCCGCAAGACGAGTCTTGCAAAGCACCACATGGTTTCAGAAGCCCAGCCAGGTGTGCCAAAGCACATGAGACGCAATCAAATAACATGCCGATGGCCGGCCAAGGGCAGGCTTTGAGACCTTGCAAACACAATGCCAGCGACACATACACCCAGCGGAGCCGTATTTTCCGATCCATGATCCCCCTTTGTAGACAGAAACTCATCAGCTACGCTTGCCTATGGGCCGTCAGCACGGCAAAAGAGTGTCTATTCTGCAATCATGCGAGAACGGGCTGCAACTGACTGCCTTCCAGGTATACGAATGATCATGGTTTGCGCTTGCTTCAATGCCGCGCTACCCACACAGTAAGAAATCCTGTTGCCTCCATAACTGCAACAATAATAGGGCCCTCCTGGCTGGCTATGTGTTGCAAGCACCTGTTCTCGGAGTGGGCACACCCTGCTTAGGAGCCTCTTACTCGGCTCTTCTCAGATTTTCGGGTACCCTGAACATGGGTCTTCTGGAAGGGGGAACCCATGGTTTGACGATGCACTTGCAAAAGTTTCAGGGCAAAAGGTACCTCAAATGATGTTTCCTCGGAACATTCAGGGGGGACCACCCGTGTCATGGACACTTTTAGCCTACCTTCCAGGCCCACAAACAAGCTGCAAGAATGGAGGCTCTGGGACCCCGAGTGTCCATGCACTGGCAATATTCCTCGCGTTCCCGCTCGGAGCCCTCCCACCTGTCGCTTGGCGCTGTCCACTGTGAAGCCTGTCGAGCAAGCGAAGCAAGGCCGCGGGAATCCATGCTTGTCTAGTGATACATCTCCCTCCCGCCCAGCCGGTGTTTGGGGCAACATGGCCAATACAGCATGTGCAGTCCGTAGTGCGCCTGTCTATCCAAATCTTAAACATCTTAAGGCTGCAGCAGTTTATAGAATGCAATACATCGGTGCACTGGCCAGCAGGGTGTCTGGATGACAAAAGCTAAAGTGCTGGCCCTTGAACCTCTCTCAAAGCACAGCGAACCAATCGATAAAGGCACTCTTCTCTTGCGGGGCGCCTCGGTTCAAACGGCGGCCAGGACCAACTAGTGACCTGCCGTGGCTTCTTGGGAACATGCTTAATCCAAACCATCAATCCGCATCAATCCGGCTTATCTTGCCCCCATCCCCCCATCCTCTGAATGGGGTGACCCTGTTGGGCATTGTCTTCAACTCCCCTCTTGCGGGTCGCTCGTCTTGCCGATGCATGCCAGCAAGTCATTCTTGCCTCCGCTGCCATTTTGAGGAAGCAAGGCTCCCCAAAAACGTCTAATGCGGGACCCGTCTATCTTCACAAACAGGAAGAGATCCTCTGCTCCCAGTAGGCCACAGCCTTGGAGTAGAGGAGAGCGACCTCATGATGCTTCACAAGCGCGATCAAAACAGCCAGGCAGCTTATGGAAAGTTGAAACCGAGCTTCACCTTCTGCAACTAAAAATTGCACCTAATGCTCACTCCAAGTAACCAACGAAAGCGTTTAATTGCCCACTCGTGACAGGTAATTTGTGCAAAGGATGCCCTTTATATACACATGTTCGCGTGGGCTTTGGACCACGGCAGGGATAGCAATTTGCAAAGGGCAGCTTGGCTGCAAATAAAAGGCACCTGTGACCAACCGGCCAAACAGAACTAAACAAGGGTGGTTCCAGCAGTTCTCCTGCCAGTCCAAGGCTTGATCCGATGGCCAAACATGACCAACGGTTGTTCCAGTCGCTCCCCTTCCAGTGCGAGTTTGATCCACTTCGAGGACATCCGTCTAGCACTGAGTCTGGATGGTTCATATAAAAGTCGATGGCATCCTGCGCAAACCTTACAACTGAAAGTGTAGGACTTCGGCCATCCACCATGCCAGCCTCATGGCTTCAAGGGTCCATGTCAAAACCTAAAGGCGTGCCTTCATTCGAAGCCGGACCCCTTGATGGATGGATGTCATCCAAAAATTTTGAGGTTGCTCACGTTCCCTGCGAAACTCCACAACCTCCTTGCTTGGCTAAGTATTTTGCGCAAGACTCTCGCGCAGCACACGTCAGCGATGAGCCCTTTGTCTCATGCGATGCTCCCACTTCTCACTGCCGCTGCCAACTGGAGCCACGCTTCGCACGACTTCGTGCTGACTCCTGCGGGTCTCAGTCTGGGGCTTAGGCCATGTGCTCAAGATCAATGCCACTGTCTGATTCCTAAACCGCCACGTCGCGCAAGTCTCAAGTCTGACATGTCCAGGATGTATACCCTTTTCCATCTGCCCCCGTGCCCATCGAATCTGCTCGAAGCACACCCTCGCCCTTGGGCCTTGGGGCTGCAGCGGGTCCCCGTTGCCGCCGGAGAAGGGCAACAGCCAAGCTAAGGAGGGCTGCGATCCGAAGACGCCTGCGAGGTGGGATGTCAGCTAACCCCCCCCCCCCCCCCGGCCCCGAAGATGTTGCACAACGTCCAACATTTTTTGACACCCCGCCAAATGTTGTCAGCCCCGTCCATCAGACCCCCCACCCCATTTGTTTTCCGACCGCCGACAATCTTTTTCTGGGTCCGTAAACCAAAAGGTCAAAGGGCTCAAACAACTGGCTCGGGGTTGTAGGCACACCCGAATAGGGTCATTGGAATTCCATCTCAAAAAGTAACAAAACTGTTTTAGCTTTTGGGGTGCCGTCAATCTTGTCAGTTGGCGCTCCCAACCCCAGGAACCCTTGGCCCATCGGAACCTCCATGGCCCGATGCGCCGATTCGACGCTTCGCGGCCCGCGACGCGAGGTGACCCGCGCCTGCGAACTGCTCCGTGCCTGCGCCCAGCTTGCCAAAGGCGCCCGGCTCCAGGAAGATGCCCAGGGGATGGGTGGACTCCCAGAGAGTGAGGATCACCTCGTGCGGAGCGGCTTTTGCTTAAGGCTTGAAAGAGAGCCAAAGGAAAACCGGCCATTTTGAGGGGGGGTCCCCTATTTTGAGAACACCCAGGTTGTGATAAAACAGCTTAGCCATCGCGACCTTGCCACTTGCGTGCCAACTACTTGCTTTCAGGGGTGGTGCACAAAAATCCCGACCTGACTCAAAGGCGCTGCCAACAGCAAGATTTGCCACCTGCTCCCGCGTGTGGGCCCCTTTAATGGGACTAAGGTTAGCTACACATGCAGCAACAAAAAACAAACACAAAAAACATGACAACCATCTGAGGTCCCCAATTCGCCAAAAGTTTGTGGTCGCCACCTACTCTTCAATGCTAGGCTTGGTGCTTGAAGTCAGGTATTGTTTATGGACCAAGCCGCTTTCAACGTGTAGCTCGTCACGGCCGCTCCATCAGAATGCCCCAAGAAGGCGCCCACCAAAACAAATAGGGTCAGGGTTTGAGTTGCTAGGGGAGTTTGCAGGATTGACTTTGACTGAAGTGTGATCACTAAAGATTACGGTATGGGCGCCCTCATTCTCTCCAACCAATGAAAATGCAACATAGGGGAAAGGAAATAAACATCCATACGCCCCTTAGGAGGTGCTTGAAACAGATGGACACCTGTGGAATATCCCCTAAACAAACAGTCTTTTAAAAGGGGCCTGTGCACTTCATGCTCGTTGGTGGGAGGGGTTTGCCTGGAATCCAGGTCGCCCCGGAGAAAGCTCGTTGTAGCTGGTCATCCCCCTCGCGCTCCAAGCGCCATTCCGCTCCTTTCAGCCCCCTCCCGCTTGTCAGCCGTGCGCTGAGTTGGTCAGTGGATACGAGCGTGCAACCTCCGCCCCCCTCTTGCAATTTCTTTGGAAGCTCACTAGGGAAAAACTTGAACAAAAACCGAATACCAAGACAGGGTGTCACTCGCTGGCCGCCATAGCCAAGATCTGCTTCATACCCGGGCATTCAAGCAGAACAATGCAACTCCGTCTCAACTTACTTGCCAAGTGGCCATGAAGAAAGTGTTGCAATGTTGCTTTCCTTGAATACATGGAAAACACACACACTTAAGAAGAGAAGCAAAAAGCGGCCAAGGACCCGGACCCGCTGGGGCGCCGCTCCCCGAACCGTCCCTCGGCTCCTTGGCTGTAGGCGGCCAGCTGCAGCTGCGAAAGCTTCATCCGCAGCACGCTGGAGCGCCAGCCAGTAACCACCTCCGAACGAGGTGAGCGCAGCATAGCGCAGCCCCTCACGTTCACACGCTCCAAAAGATTTGGGATCCAAAAACACGGCTTAATGTCAAGCCAGGATTGATTTAACAGTGAGCGCGAAATCAAGACAAGCGTGTGGCACGAGAAAAACAATCAAGTCCACCTGGAACAAAGACAAGCACCACCCCTGGCAGCCCCAAAAAGGAAGCTCCATCAAATGGAAGATAATTTCCAAACTCAAAAGGAAGCTCCAGCAAAACTAAATCAAATGGACACTCAATCCAACAATACTAGATTAAAATCTTACAAGGAAGCTCCGGCAACACTAAGCAATAGTACTGGACCTCAAAATGCTAATCTAGATGTTAGGGGCAGGGGCTTTAGAAATCCCAATTCACTATTCCTCTAAGTTCGGTCAACAAAAATGAAATTTGCCCCCGGAAGAGGCGTCCTTCCCGCCCGCTTCGACCGCATTCCTGTCAGAAATGTCACCATGCAGACACATGCATATAGGGAACTGATTCTCTTCGTCGATTATTCTCTTCGTCGATTGCTATAATAATAGTTACAAAACACCTGTGAAAGATCGACTGCTGGCAAATGCCAGGAAGCCAACACATTCGCATAAGCGAACTGAGTAATGCAGCCTCTGGCAATCTGAGCATTCAAGTGTCGTACTCACAGAAGGCCCTGGCTCTGCCCCAGCCTAGCCCACTCAACCACAATATTGCATTCTTTGCCTGGTTGAAACAGTGAGCGTGTGGACCAGCCGTGCTACGGCCGACGAGGCCTCAGAGGGTAAGACCCCAGAAAGTGGCTGCCCTCTCTTCACAGCATGGGCCTGGGGCCCTACGAAAAGTTAAAATGCCCTCTGGCTTGGCTTAGCCCACAGCTGCCCCAGCTTTGCGCCACGTGGCACCGCGCTTGGCTTCAGCCCCCCCGCCTCCCAGCAGGCGCACCGAAAGAAGTGGAAAACTTTGTTCCACCACCACAGGATGTAGACGGTCCTTGTGCGTAAAGCTCAACAGCCCTCGTGTCCGACAGCTGAATAACAGCCAGAAGAGCCGTCAAACTTATGATGCTTTTACCTATGGATTGCCAATCATCCATGAGCTGAACGGATAAATTCGGAAAATAAAATCAAAGGCTGTCTTCCGGTGCGGGCCTCTTCCAACCAGCCATATTGGTCCCAACTTTTGGGCAATGTCGTTGAGCTAGGCGCTAGCCAAACAATGTTGCTATAGAGAGCCAGACAGAGATGCCCACGTCGCTCGTTGCTGAGACTGCAATACTCCAGGCTGGAGTTTCTTCACACGACGTATTGTGTTTCTTACCGGCTGCACTTGCTAGTGAAAGGAAGGCATGATATGCTAGCATCAGCTGCCTGTTTTTTCAGGGTCGGTTCTGCAGTGAAAATGCCCAAGCTGCCCACTCTCTGTTCAGTTGAGCTGCTTTAGTTGCTCCCACGTCACTTGAGCAAACCTTGTGCAAAGCTTTGTGCGCTGGGCACCCCTGTCCAGCTCAATAGCAGCGCCCAGCCCATCCAGCTGTCAGGCAGGTCAAGCAGGAAAGTGATGGCCACCAAGTAGGCGCACCTCAAACGGGAAAACAGAACCATCTGAACTTCAGGACCAGCAACTAACATGGAAGTGTGCAAGGGTAAACCAGCTGAACCACCCTAACGCGCCCCAGGCGCGCCTGGCGTGGGGTGCGATGGCACGATGAACCGTTCAACGGACTGTGGCTCAAAATGGCGCCCCCCCCATGTGTGCATGATGTGCATGCATGCAGTTGCCTGGATAGTGATAAGGGCCTATATATTTTGCCTCTTGAATATCATGGGCAAGCCTGCCCTTGCTGCACAATTGGCGTGTGCATGCGGTAGGATAATTCAGCAAAGGCGCATCACATTTCCATACAGCAGTGCAACCTTGAAGCAGTGAGTCATAAGCTGGCAGTGGGAAGAATGCAAGGGTGAAGGTAACGGTTCTCCGACCCACGGCACGATTGAATCTGCCCCCCTGAGGTTCGTGCCCCATTCACAACATTGCCTACTCTGGATATCTGGTGATGGGTTGTGGGGATTACATATGTTGTATCAAATTAAAAACTGCGCAGAAGTCATTGAAGACAGCCAGGCTCCTTAAAACCTGCCAGTCGAGCTCTAACATGCAGGAACGTGCAGGGGCTGCCGGCTAGCATAACAATAGGCGCGGAATATGCCACAAGTCAGTGGCTGCCAGGAGGCGATGAAGCACCGCAGGTTGCGGA